AAAAATACGTCGTCGTTACTGTGTTCACTTTTCGTTTATAATGTAACACTTTCATATTTTGAACAAACGTGTGACTAGAATGTGCTTGCAGTATGATGACACCTGTGTCCTTGCACGCTAACCAGATGAGACTCACTGCAGAATTGAAACAGATTGTCAGGTCGTTAGCAAATGAAGTATCGATCCACTGAAACGGAATGAGATCCTAGAGTAATAATACTGGGTACAGTTGTAAAAGAAAAACATTAACGTATAATCATTTTTATTGATAAAAAATAAGCATTAAAATGACTAAAACCTCATTCTAAAATCAATTGTATTAAATTGTTTTCATATAAAGCAATGTTGATAATATTTTAGTCTTAAAGCAAGCTGTATGATTCCAGTTAACAAATGCTAGTCCTAATGTACTTTGTACATGGTTTAATTTCTAGCTCTGACAGATATTTAAATACAGGTATATTATACATTTATCAGGCACATACTGCTGTTAAAGATGTGCTTAGATTCTGGTATCATGCCTGTATGAATGACGGCAGTGGTCATTTGTTGAATGTTAAAGAGGCTTAAAGGGATAGTTCACCCAAAAATGAAAATTTGATGTTTAACTGCTTACCCCCAGGGCATCCAAGATGTAGGTGACTTTGAGTCTTCAGTAGAACACAAACAGAGATTTTTAACTCAAACCGTTGCAGTCTGTCAGTCGTATAATGTAAGTGGATGGGAATCATGGCTTTGAGAGTCATAAAACATACACAAACAAAACCAAATTAAACCCTGTGGCTCGTGACGATACATTGATGTGTAAAGAGACAAAACGATCCCTTTAAGAGGCTTGGTCATTGGAATGAATGTTTTAACATGATGAGGAAGGTCAGCTTTAACATTTTGTTGATTATGAAATTAATCTGGTGTGTTCCATATACAATAGCAACAACGACCATTTTGAATCATGGTTAAAGTTTGCTAAACACTGTGATGGCCCAGAACCATTCTCACTGTAGAGATCTTTCATCCTCATTTCTCCTCTCTCACTCCTTCCATTCTCATCTTTTTCAATCTCTCTCTAATTCTCAGACTAAATTTCTTGGTCATTCTCTCAATGGAGTGTGTCTGCCCTAATGACCGTGAGGTTATGAGATCTGAGTGTTAAATGGCCTATTGCCGGTTTTACATGGTAAAAGATCGGTAAGCTTCCTAACTCATTTGCTTCTGTCGTTCCTCCTCTAGGTTTCAAGGAGTTTGGTGTTGGCTATGGTGACTCGGAGTCAGCCACTCCTATGGAGAATAGCATGTTGAATGGCATGGAGTCTGCAGAACTGGCTTACCCACTCTACGAACCAGGTCTGTCACACACACCCACTGTCACACTTTAGTTGCACTCCATTCCAGTGCTGCTTACTGGCTGATTATCATTGGGGGTGTGTATGTGTCTTGTGTCGCTCAGTGGAGGGTGAGGCGGTCGAGGTGCAGCCTCTGCTGTCTGAAGAGAGTCTGAAGGAGTCACTGAAGAAGCAGCTGGAGTTTTGCTTCTCAAGGTAACGCGCCACTGTACGCCCAGACATGCTAACACCTGCTCCCCCTTATTACGTAATTATGTAAGGGATGAATGAAAATTCATAATCATCTGAACAGTAGAGCAGTGCTTATTTACTCTTGCTTGAGAAAATTCTCATTCTCTAATTAAATGTAATGTCATAATGGACCCATAATATTGAAAAGATTTGATGTGGATGATCCGATTGAAGCCGTTATATTTGGCAGTATTGTAATTGTCAGTTGCAAAATAAGGACATTTTAATTTGATAATATGATATAAAAAAATATTAGAATTAGCATCTTTTACTCACCCCAATGCAATTCCAAAGCAGTATGGCCATTGGATGCCAGAAGTCATTTGTTTCTTGTGTGTCGTGTGACTATTGGGAAGCTTGAATTTCAGCAAAAGTCAGTAGTTGGTCAATAATCCATTCGTGAGTTAATCTATTTATTTTTTGGTTAGTGGTCGATCAATATTTATATTGGCCAGATTTTTTGATTGTTGATTTATAATTAAATATTCAATGACTTGTTGGCTGGACTGAAACTGATAATTAAATTCCAAATATCAGCCATTTCTATATCGGTCCACTAGAAGCAGTGCTTTTGAGTGTTGAAACCATCTTTTATTTTTCTTAAAGCATGACCTTTAAAACACTGACGTTACATGCATACGCATTGATAAGTATGTTTTTACCTGTTGCACTGTTTTTGAGCATACTGTTTCAAGTGTTGCGTTTAAGACAAAACCTTCAACTTTTCAGTGTGTCTTGCCACATTTGACCGATAAGGTGAACCGCAACATCCGTATTACATAAAGTTTCCTTGGGACCAAATAGTTGACTAGTCGTTCAGGAAACCTACTGACTTGTCTAGTTTGAAATTTAGTTTTGCACATGATGTTTTGAAGCAACACAATATGTAGTAAAAGTTCTGTATTCCTGAAGGAATACACACTCCTGTGTGTAAAAAAAAAAAAAAAAAAAAAGTTAGTTCTTGGGTCTATTTTTTTTAATTTGCATGTGTGCACTTAAGCAAACCAATCCTTTAGTGGTGTGATAACATTGTAGTATTCAGTATTGTCAATGTAATGTGCAAATCATGCAATGGTAGATTTTAGTTGGCAAAGCAGGCATTCAAATTCAGTTTTCTTGAATACTTAATACTTAATCTGTATTCAAAAATGTTATCCAGTGAAATTCTTATGCACACTGACCATTTTGAGTGCATTGGATATCACTGCAAGTGTTCGTCTGTTCATTGTGTTTTTCTTACAGAGAGAATCTCTCCAAGGACCTTTACCTGATGTCTCAGATGGACAGTGATCAGTTTGTCCCTATTTGGACCATTGCAAGCATGGAGGGGGTCAAACTGCTGACTACTGATATGGACCTGATACTTGAGGTGCTACGAGGTAAAACAAACAAAACCCGACCACAGTTTGAGTTTGTTCATTCCTTACAATGCTTTAATTCCTTTCTTTTCTGTCCTCCTCAGCCTCTCCCATGGTGCAAGTGGATGAAAAGGGGGAGAAGGTACGACCAAACTACAAGCGATGCATCATCATCCTCCGAGAGGTTCCTGAGACCACACCTGTAGAGGTGAGAGCACACTTTATGGTCATCTCTTGTGGCTGTATATAGTAGAGACTGGTTACCATTACTGTGGTCACCCCAATTATGATCAGTATCGCGCTTGGAAGGATCCAGATTCATTGCTGCTGTTGAGATTTTATTGTCTGTCTTTTTCTTTCTTTCTAACTCCTCATTTATCTATCCTTATTCGTCCCCCCCCCCCCC